AGTTCTTTTCTACTAGTTCTTATTTTTTTCTATAGTTTCTACTAATAAATACTATATTTTCAAATTTTCTGATTACCAGTATTTACCTTTTACTAATTTACAATTTATTTATTGAATTAATATTTTTCAAATTTACTATAAATACTATTCACTTATTTAATAATTAGTTACTTTCTACTAAAAATTAGTTCTTTTTCACTAATAATAGGTTTTTCTATACTAATAAATAGTTTAACTACTTATTTACTAATTAGTAGTTACAATTGACTAAATTACATCTTATTCATTGAATTATTAATTTACTAATTTACGAAAAATACTATTTATTTACTAATAATTAATTAGTTTTTATTAAAAATTACTTATTCTCCGTTAATAATTTATTTTTCGTACTAATTATTATTAGTTGATTAAGTTATTTATTTATTTAATTAATTAATAGTCATTGTTTCTTAATTTACAATTTATTTACTATATTTCTAATTATCTGACTTACTATAAATAATATTGTTTTAGTAAAAATTAGTTATTTTTTTTTATTAATAATAATAAATTAGTTTCTCTATAATTAGTTATTTTCTATTAATATTTAGTTACTTTCTACTAATAAGTAATTATTCTTTACTAATAATTAGTTATTTTTAATTTTTATTAATTGCTGACGCAAAAAGTCTGCAAAGATTTTACTTAATTATTTATTATAATTTGTTATTAAAAATTATTATTTATTATTTATTAAATTTGTTATTATTATTTTATAAATTCTTTACTTTCGTCCGTCATAAATAAAAGTAATAATAAAAAAATTTATAAAAAAATAATTAATAAAGATAACAATTCCGAGAACAGTGAATTTAATACTGTTCTAAACGTAATTGTCAAAGTAAACAGATGTTTTAATGAGATTGAAGTAAATACGTGCATGTAACAGGAACAAACAACTTAAGACTTACAATTTTATAATAATAATAATAATAATAATATCACGCCATGTTTTACGATAGACGTATATCTATAAAAATGGTAAAATTACATCTACGTGAAAAAAAGTGCGTAAGAAAATGTCTTTCTCTTTTTTTCTCTCCTCTCTCTCTTTCTCTCTCATCTTACGCCTATAATAAATTCCACGCACGCGTACACAAGATGACACGTTATTTTCCACTGCAACTTTATATTTATCTCCTCTCATTTTGACATGAGAGCGGGTACTCATAAATAGCTTCGAAATATCTAGTATCAAGTTGTCATCCCCCCGATATAAAAGGCTCGACAAAGCAGTGGTTGGCTTTTTAAAAATCATCTCGCGTAACCCCTCGAGCGTGAATTGGCGAGCTCAAAAAAAAAAAAAAAAAAAGAAAATAGAAAAAAAAACTCGGAAAAAAAAATGAAATTCCCTGCGAAAGGTGAAACTCATTAACACTCTTGTGATATGTGATCTGTATTTGCCTTTACAGTTTTCTCTCTCAAAAAATGGATTTTTGTTTTTGTTTTCTTTTTTTCTGTATATATATATATATATATTCTTTTGTTAGAAAATTCTTTTTAATTCTCTTCTTTTATTCGCAAATTTCTTTTTTTCTTTTCTTCTTTTTTTCTTTTCTTCTTTTTTTTTTATTTATCCAACTGGTCACTCTTTCAGAAGGAATATTACTTTTTTTCTCGTATTTTTCTAACTAGCAATAGAACACAGTTCGTTAAATAAAAATATTGTTGAGCATCCAGATAGTGGAACGTGAAAATTAAACGTATTCCAATTAACGTTGTCTCCAATAATTCGCAAACATTTTCGCGTCATTTTTTTATCACCAATTTTATTATATACAATATATGTAAATATTTGTTTTGAATTTATTTGTATGCATAAATATAAAAATAAATAACTATATTTAAATATAGACATATTTTTGAATGTATATATATATTTATATAGATTTTGGATGAAATTTGTATTATTAAATTTTTTCAATATTTTCCGATGATATTTTCATATGAAAGATATGTGTACAATGCTGTATAATTAATTTAATGAAACCAGTAATAATCAGAAAGAATTTCATTTTCGATAAAACAAAGGGAAACTTTATAAAGTCAAACATAAATTATTATTATAATTACAAAAAGTGATTAATGTAACGAAAAAATAATTCACATAATTTTAAATAAATATTCGAATCGTAAAATGAAATTCACGATTAATTAGTTACTAATATAATTGTAATTGAATAAAAGCACTTTCGTTATTAATTGTGAAATTATGTTATTTTGTAAATTGTAATAATTGTAAAATTAGCGTAAAATTAAAAAAAATGTAGTAATATAAATATGCTATTCCATTAGGAATACAATAAAATAAAATAAAAATTCAAACAAAATGAAAATAACTTATTTTCCAAAAAAATCGTAGAAATTATTTATGAGTTTTAAATTTTAAATTAAGAATAAAAATTAAATTGAACCAAAATAAACAAAGATATATTTTTTAAAAAGAACACAAGTAAATTTTACTTTTTTATCAATAAAAAAAATTTTCATATTGAATTAAAATTTGTAAATTAGGAAACTATTACAAATAAAATTAAATAAAAAATCTGATAACTCGCGTATTTCGTTAAAATTAAAAATTAATTATGAAAAACGAATATAAGAGAAAATTTTTAAACAGAAAACGTAAAAATTTTATTTGTTCAACGAAAGAAAGAATAGAAAAATTAAATTGTAATTTGTTGATTAGAATACTATTAATTAAAGTTAAAATAATTAAAAATTTCGAAATGTTTTATTAAATTAAAATTTCAAGAACGAAAATAAAACAGAAAGCAAAGAAATTATTTTTTCTTTAATTAAAAAAAAATTCGAAAACTCGAATTATAATTTATGAATTAGAATAAAAGCAAAATTTTTATAAAAAAAGGAAATTTTAAAATTTGTTAATAAAGGAAAAATAGAAAAATTACATTTCAATTATTTAACTAGAATAACTAACTATAATATTTAATGAAAAAATTAATTGTTTAAGTGTTTTATTAAAATTTTGAAACAAAAACGAAAATAATATTTTATAAAAATATTTTTGAAAAGAAAAAAGGAAATTTTACTGTTTTATTAAAAGAAAAATCGAAGAATTGAATTATAATTTTTAAATTAGAGATATTATGAATTAAAATTTAATTAAGAAATTAATTATTCGTGTGCTTCGTGAAATTTAAAATCAAAAACGAAAATAAGGCGAAAATTTCTTAAAAGCAGAAAAGGAAATTTTTCTTTTTATTTAATGAAAATCAAAATTTAGAATTATAATTTCTGAATTAAAATTTAATTAAGAAATTAATTATTCTTCTGTTTCGTTAAATTTAAAATCAAAAGCAAAAATAAGGCGAAAATTTTCCAAAAAGAAAACACAGAAATTTTATTTTCTTTATAATGAAAGAAAATTGAAAAATTGTGTTATAATTTCGTGAATTAGAATACTATTAATTAAAAATCCCTCTCTCTCTCTCTCTCTCTCTCTCTCTTTTTTTTCCATTTCGACGTTAATAAAGGGAAATTTTTTTTTGTCTCACCCCATCACTATCGAATTCCGGCTGTTAGGACAAAGCGTGTCATGATGCCTTCAGAATGAGATTGAATACCCTTTTGTAAGGCGAATGATTAAACGTGATTCACAAAAAGAGTATACCAGTAATTAAGGAGTTTTTCCACACTAGATGAGGTCACAAAAGATCAGACATTATAACACAAAAAAAAGATCTTCGTTTTCTCAACAAAAATCATTTTCTATCAACTAGCAATTTTTTTTCTCATCAACTATTATCATCTTATGTTAAGTTCCTAATTTTTCGTTTTTTTATTGATTTCTTTTCAGTTTCGAACTCCGACAGAGCGTGTGTATGTGAAAAGAATTTTCTCCGCTTTCCACTGTTTCGCATACAATTTCTTTGTTTTCGTTTAAAAAAAAAAAATAAAAAAAAATCTATAAAAATAAATCTAGTTTCGCTTATTAATATTGATTTTAAAGAATTTTTTCGCGTTAATTAAAAAAAATATATTGTAAAATAATACATTTTGAATTCCAAACGTTTTCGAATATAACTCTATCAAATTTTTTCACATTCAATTCGGTTAAAAAATATTTTCATCGCCAAACATGGAATTTCATTTTAATTCCACAGTTTCGTTTCGAGTCGAGCGAGAGTGAACAAAAAAAAAAATTATTTTTATCCTCTCCTATATTCGAAAATTTATGAGACTTATATTCTTTTCACTGTAAAAATTATTCAGTTTATGATAGTAAATTTTTTTTTTACCTATTAAACTCAACTGTCAATACAAAATTTTTTTTTAAGTATCATTTTTGGTTTTTTATTTACGAATATAGATTGGTTTATTTTTTAACACTTTAGTTAAATTAATTTTTTTTAAATTAATATTTAAATATAATTAATATTTCAATATAATTTGCATTTAAATATATTTGCAATTATAAATTTATAAAACATTTTCATTTTAATATTTAACTTTCGAAACATAAAAAAATTTTTAATTTCCATTTCAATCAAATACATTTTTCTCGTGTATATTAATATAAAGATTAAATTATTTTTCAGAAAATGTTTTCTTGTTTCTAAAATTGTTTTTTTTTGAGAATCAACTGTATATAAAAAGGAAGCGACAGATAACGTTTATTTATTTACAAAATTAATTATTTGAATTTCTTTTAACTTTTAATTTATTTGGATAATTTAAAAATAATTATTTTTATTTAATAAACTGGGAATTTTTCTAAATTGAGGAATTAATCATTCCTTGGATGTAATTAATTATATACTTTAAATGAATAAATTCTGAATGAAAAACAATAAGAAAAGAACGAAGGAGATAAAAAATAAATTCCTTTTTTTGATTCGAGTCTCTCCTTTTAATGGTAGAATGTGAAAATTGGTTTTCTTTGTTCCCTTTTCCCTTAAACTGTTCTAATTAAATGAATTTAATTAAGGACTTACAGATAACGTTGAGATGCGCGTTGGCCCGAATGGCTTTTGCTCTGAGAAATGGTCCCACTTGACACTGATATTCTCCATCGTCACTTAAAGATGCATTTGTTATCTTCAAATTGTAAATTCCGTTATTTGGCTCACCAACTAGCCTCAATCTTGGATAACCGACAATTTCGCCATCTAGAAATGATTAATTATTTATTAACTAACTTTTGAATTAATTATATAATTATATTCTCTCTCTTATTTGAACAATGGGGAAAATTAATTTCAATTAAAATTTCAGTAGTACAAGTCAATTAAATATATATATAGTCAGACAATATCAATTTCAATCCAGAGAAATTTTAATAATTGATGCAAATAAAGTTTTAGTCAGACAAAAAAGAGAGTGAATTATTTTTCCTTTAAGTAGTACAAGTAAATTTTATGTCAGACAAGAATTAATTTTTTTATTTCTCAATAGATATTTTGTAAACTAACTTTTGAATTATATATTATTCTCACTCGACAGGGAAAATTAATTTCGATAATTTCAGTGGTACAAGTCAATTATATCGTCAGACAATGTCTATTTTAATTTTTAATGCATTTTTTTTAATTTTTATTTTTAATAAAAGCTGCAAATAAAGTTATAATTAATTTGACAAAAACATGATCAATTTTTACTTTTGTTTCAGTAGTACAATTATTTTTAAATCAGACAATAATTTAATTTCTAACTAAATTACAAATACTTTTTTTTTCTCGAAGGGGAAAATTAGTTTCGAAAATTTTAGTAGTACAAGTCAATCATATAGTCAGACAATATCAATTTCAAGGCAGAAAAAAGTTTAATAAGTAGTGCAAATAAAATTTAAGTCAAACAAAAAGATGAGTAATTTTTTTCAGTAGTACAAGTATTTTTCAGTCAGACAATAATTTAATTCTTTATTTTTTAATTAAATTACAAATATTATATTCTCACTTGCTGAGGGAAATTAATTTCGAAAATTTTAGTAGTACGAGTCAATTATATAGTCAGGCAGTATAAATTTTAAAGTAGAAAAATTTTAATAAGTGGTAAAAATAAAGTTTTAGTCAGACAAAAAAGAAGGGGGATTTTTTATTCTTGTTTCAGTAGTACAAGTATTTTTCAGTCAGACAACAATTTTTAGGAAATAAATTATAATTAGTAGAACAAGTGAATTAAAGGTCGGACAAAAGGCTTTGAATTTTAATTTTTTTATTCAGTAGTACAAGTCAATTTTATTCGGACAGAATGTTTCAAATTCATATTTTCAGTAGTACAAGTCTGTCTTTAGTCGGACAATGATTTTCAAAAGTTTTTCTCGTTTCAGTAGTAAAGGTATTATTCAGTCAGACATAAACAGTCAGTTTCAAACAAATTTACAATTTTTAGAAACTTATTCACAGAAAACATTAAATTTTTCTTAAAATTCAGTAGTACAAGTCTGTTTACAGTCAGACAACGTGTTTTACATTCCGTAACTTACATTTTCAAAGCAAAAAAAAAGAAGAGTATTTTTAGGGTGAAAATAGATAATTCTTTTTTTCCTCCCCACTTAGTAAATTGCATGGAAAAATATTGTCTGGTGAGTAACGAAAGGGTTTAGGTGGAGGGGGTTAGTCAATTAATCTAATGGCAGTGATTACATTATAAGTGATAAATCCATGACTAAAACTCGATCGTATTATTATTATTATACTTAAAGGAATTGAATTCAAATAGAAAATGTGTTTGAATAGTACTCACTTTGTTGAACGACGAATGCAAATCCATCTTTGGCCCACTGAACGATTCCAACTCTGTTATCAACCGCACAATTTAAAAGCACATCTCTACCTTCTGACACTGAATTATTCGACGGTCTGATTCGAAACGACTGCGCTGCGCCTGTGAACATTAGAGAAAAAAATCTTTTCTTAGCAATAATATTTATTAATAATGAAAAAAAAATCATTATTATTTTTCGTTGACGATAATAGTTATTTTTAACTATGCAATGAAATTTTACTTTAAATAAATCACCAAAGTCAACGATTTGTAAAAATTCATGATCCCCAAGTTTTGAACGTTTAAATGAACGAAAGATTTTTAATTGAAGATATTTTTATAAATTACTAATCACAAAAAATTTAAAAACTGAAATATTTACGGTTAGAAACTCAGTTATTAATTTTTGGACAGTGACGCAAAATAATTGCAATAAAAATTTAATTTGTAGAAGAAATAAATAAATTTCGTTCATTTGAACGTTCAGAACTTTAGGATCTTAAAATTCAACGAATTTAGCTTCTCCAGGGAGAATAGTAAGTTAGTAAGTTAGTTACTAACTGAATTGTGTTAAAAAATTAAAAAAATTTTTTCAAAATTTTTTTTTAAATTCTCGTCAAAATTTCCATTTTCTTTACATATAAATAATAAAATTCTTCTCTGATATTCAATTATTTTACAAAATTTTAATCAAATTCTTGTCAAAATTTCAATTATTTTCAAAAGTTTTCTAAAATTCAATGATTTTCAATATCTACTATTTCAATAAAATTTTCCAAAAGAATTCCATTATTAAAAAAAAATTCAATAAAATTCTACGCATACATTCAAATATTTTCATAAATAATAAAAATTTTTACAGGAATTCAATTATTTACAAATTATTTTATAAATTTCTTCGCAATAATTCAATTATTTTCATAAATAATAACATTTTTACAGGGATCCAATTATTTTTACAAATAATAAAATTCTTTTAGGAATTCAATTATTTTCATAAACAATAAAACTCATTGCAGAATTTCAATTATTTTTAATGCAATTTCAATCGAATTCCTCGAAAAATGTAATTATTCTTAAAAATTTTATTAAAATTCGTCCAAAGAATTTAATGATTTAAAAAATTTGTTGATAACATTTTTTATGAGAATTTAATTTCAAGAAACATGAAATTAATAAATTATTTATTTGCATTTTATTTGTATTTAAATAATTGAATTCTCGTAGAATTCACTAATAAAAAAGGCTTTAAAAATGAATTTCACTTAAAATTTAAGATCATTATTAAATATTAAAAGCATTATAACGTGGATTTTTAGAAATAATTAAATTTTTCAAAAGTTTCAAATTAAAATCATTGAAATTCTTAATTTTTCATATTTTTGTCAAAAAATTCTGTACAATTAATTCTTTTTAAAAGTTTAATAGGATTTTTATAGAAATTATTTCAAGTTTTTATTTTTCAATATATATTTAATTGCAGAATTTTGGAATAATTGAAATTTTGTAAAATTGAATTGTAAACGAATAAATTTGAAAATTCTCATAAAACTCATCGTAACGTCTTAATTATTTTTCATACAATTATAATTGAATTCCTTGAAAAAAAGGATTTATATCGATGCAATTTTTAATAAAATTCGACAAAAAGAATTCAATTATTTAAAAATTTGTTAATAAAATTCTTTATGAGAATTGAATTTTGAGAAAGATTCAATTATTCAATAAATTATTTACTTTTGCATTTAAATAGTTAAATTCTTGTAGAATTTTTTAATAAAAATTGATTTTCTTTTCATAAAAATGAATTTCAGTTAAAATTTTCGATTATAATTGAATATTAAAAGCAATATAGCGTGAATTTTTAGAAATAATTGAATTTTGAAATTAATTTTTTTGAAAAAGTTTAATTGGATTTTTTTCTACATTATTTGAAGTTTTTATTTTCTAATTCTTAATTAAAGAATTTAGGAATAATTGAAATTTCGTAAAATTGAATATTGTAAACAAATGGATTTGAAAATTGCCAAAGAACTTTTTCGAAAATTATTAAAAATAATTGATATAAAGTAAAATTGTAGTTAAAATTTTTTGAAAATAATAATTAAATTGAAATAATGAAAATAATTTTAAAGACGTAGGAATAATATTCTTATAATATAAAATAATGATTTTATTACTTGGTCATCTTTAATTATTTTAAAATATGAAGAAATCGATGACTCCGAGTCGAAGACTCGGAGTTATGGATATCTTCATGTTTCATAGTTATAACAAAATTTAATAAACTAAAATTTCATTCATTGTTAAAAATAACACCAAAATTGATTATTTTTATCTTTTTTGGTGTTAATTTAATCTGCAACACTTTTTAATACCTCACGATTTAATGTGTAAAGTAAATTAATAAAGAAAATTCTTTTTTGAACCTGTAATACTTTTCCTGTCGATAATAATCGCAAATAATTATGGAAATCAAATTCAAAAATTTTTTTAGTATGGAAATTAAATTTATTTTCAATGCAAATAAATGCAAAAAGATTAAATCCTAAATAATAAATTCGATGACAAAATTAAAAAAAATTTATTTTCTGAATTTTAAGTTTCTTTTTTAAAGAAAATAATAAGAAAATAATTCTGGAAATTAAAAATTTTCTTTGAGTAGAAATTAAAAATTTTGAGTAAAAAGAAGCGAAATATCAAACAAAAAAACATCGTTTCTGAAACTTTAAATTTTCTTTTCCAAAAAAAATTATAATATTATAACATTATTATAATATAATGATATATTATAATTTTTGTTATTATTTCTATTTCATTTTATTACTTTATTATTTTTTTATTATAATTACAAATTATATATTATAAAATTTAGAAAATTATTATTTTTATTATTTTTTTTCTAAATTTGTTATAACAATAATAATTATTCGATTATTCGATTATTTTTTCCAGTTATTTTGCTTTTGATATGTGAATAAAATAAATAAATAAATATATATCAAGTTTAGATTAAATTGAGCATATTTCGATAATCGAAATGTGGCAAAGTCACTGAGGATAGTGCGAAATGTAAAGAGGTGCATTGGCGTATGCATCGAATTACGTGCACCAGTTCACTACAAAATGGAGAAACTTTAGACTGCCTAAAGCCATGTCTCGTGAAATGTATCTTGATACGGAGCTTTACGAAATTGCAAACGCTGCGCAGTACTGATCTTTACGCAAATTACGCTAACGTCCACCTCTCTCTCTCTCTCTCTCTCTCTCTCTCTCTCTCTCTCTCTCTCTCTCTCTCTCTCTCTCTCTCTCTACTTCTCTCAACTCTATGTATTCGCGCCTTGAAAATTTAACTTGACCCGAAAATGTAAATTTATCGAAATAAGAAGTAAATTCACTGTCTCATGAAATTCATGGGGAAAATTTTACTCCACCCTTGCGCCAATTTTATGTTCTATTCCCTTTCCAAAGAGAAGGAAAAAGGAAAAATTCACTTTATCGAATTTTTAATAATCCAGGAACTATGAAAAAATATTTGTTTTTAATTTTTTATTAAAAAATATTTTTTTGGAAAATAATTTTCTGCTGTTTTTTTCAAAGAGAAAAATTTTTTTCGTTAATTAAATAATTTTTAGTAGTTTTTTATTTTATTAAAATTATTATTTATTTTCTTCAATAAATTGCAAAAGACCGAACGAGGAATTTAATATTATTATTGAAATACAGGAGAAAAAGTGAGGAAAAGAGAAAATTTTCTGAAAATGTCAATAATCGATAAAATCTAAACTCTATTTAAACACTTTTCCTTTTTTTTTTAATTTTAAATAGAGAAAGCAAAATCTTGAAGAAGTTTCACGTGTACAGCTTATCATTCGCGTTTTCAGCATCCCTAAGGGTCTTAAAGAGAAAAGTACACGTGGCACAGTGTCACGTGTCATGCGAAACTATCCTGGGGAATTTTGCAGCAAGTTGACTTAATCCCGCAAGACGTTTTCTCAAGAACGTGAGTGGAACAAGCCCCTTACTTTGATATTTAAACTCGCGTACACTCCGTGACTTCATTTCAACGATTCGAGCCAAATTCCAAAAATTCTCACTTTGGTTTTAATTTTCAACTTGTCTCCTCTGTTATAAACTTTGACAAATATTGTTTTTCTTTATCCGACGTTTTTCTCTTTCTTTATTAAATTCCAAAGTTTGACGTTTTTTTTTTATTAAATTGAAGAAAAACAAGAAAAACAAGAAAAATAGAAAAACAGAAAAATTATTTTTAAAAAATCCCAATAGTTTTTTACTGATACAGAAAAAAGAAAATCTCCTTCTCGGAAGATATAGAGATATAAAAAAAAGAAAAAAGAAAACTTTGTGGATAGAGGACAAGAAGAATGGAGACAAAAGAAAAAGGAGTTTTAGAAAATTATTTATACTTAAGGTTTAAGCTTAGTTGACCGATAAAAGGTAAGTAAAGAATAAGTGAAGATCAATTTATCGGTCTTTCCTCGAATTTGAGCAGTATTTTATTTCCCATTGAGTAAACGGTAGGACATCACTGAATAGAATGTCAATAGTAGTGTGCTTTTTTAAAGAAGGAAGGAAGGAAGGAAGATGGATAAAAAGAGAAGAGTAAAAAAAGGAAAACCAGAAGGAAAACAAGAGTTGGTCACAGATCTATAGTATACAAGAGCTTCTGTAACATTTAAGTCAATTTTAAATGAGTTGTTCGATTTTCCAACATAGATAGCTACTCTATTGGAATTCAATGAAGCTCTAAAAAACCATTAATGGAAACTTTTCTTCAACTGTAATAAAAAAAAAGAAAAGAAAAGGAAAAAATGAAGAAGAATCTTCTTAATTAATTTTAATTGATTTTCATTCCCCCGCGTTGTCTGATTTCATTTATTTCGTTTCAATTTTTAATCATTTTTATTAGTACAGTAGTCATTATTTTTAATTCTTTTTAATTATTATTACTTTTAATTAATTTTAATGTTATTATTATTATTCAAAATTAAACTTGGATGTGCCGCTTATAAATTTAAAAGATTTTCGTGCCTCTTTTTTTCCTAATTTTGAAATTTTTTGCTTGTAATTTTTCTCTTCTTTTTATTTTTATTACAGGC